GAGTACGCTGATCACTGCACTAAAGGACATCTATGTAGCTCAAATTATTTTTAGGTTTAGGTCACTTGATATTATTTTTATTATTTCTGCAATTTTCTAAAATTTCTGCAACAGTTTAAAAGACAATTTCAGAATTGGAGAAATGCTCAAGTGTTATTGATGTACCCGAGACCCAAATTAGATTTCAGTATATAGCAGTTGTTTAGTGCCCATATCTAAAACTACTGTAGACAAAATTAAAAAGCTTCATAGACTACTAAATGCTCCAAGATCATGAAAATAAAAGCTAGAGAGATACTACTAAAAATGCTAACGACTAACGAAAAGATGATATGCAGCTTATAGAAAGTCATGGTGAGAATCTGTAATATTCATGAAGAATTTAATGAAACCTGCTACATAGAAAAGAAATGGCACAATTTACAGAAATATTATTGTAAAAACATAGAAAAATATGCTCTTGCAAAGAGCAGTAGAGAGGTGGACAAAATGACAAGAGAATGTAGCATGTGCAGCACTGTGCACCAACACTAGTGGAATTTTCAGAACTAACACTTTCATCAACAAATATGAGGAAGACTGAACATCACGAAATTGGGAGTCTTCCTGTAATAATACTTGCTTACATAATTACTTACGTAATTACAGCATGAGAGACTGATAAAAAAAAAAACTGAGGAATGAATGTACACTCCTCCCCAGTGTACTAGTGACTGTGTGTAGTCAATTTCTACAAGGAGTGAGATTTAGTGGAGTGGGCCCCCACCTCTTGGCTATTTGTACCTGGTGCTTTAAATTTCTTGACATTGTATTTTTCCGTCATAGTTTCTGTGTATGCATACTATTTATCCATTTGTAATTATTCCTGGTCCATTTTGTGTGTGTGTGTGTGTGTGTGTTGGGGGGTTTCACCGGGTTGGCACTCGGGTGTGCTTTCCTTTACTCCATTTTCGATATTTATTTTATATCCAGTAAATGAATAAGAGAGAAAACAATATACAGTATACAAAAGTACATGCAAATTGATAAAGAAATTAGGCCTCTTTTCCAATGTATGTAATTATTAGTGATGTGTGGAAATACATGTTATGTTACTTAAAAGTATTATAATAAAAAAAATAGCAGTAAGTAGCAAAAACTTTTAAAATAATTGAAAGCTTGAATGTTTGGATAGAGTCCAGTGCCACATATGGTAGTTGGCTCTACCCAACTACACTCTACATTACTGCCTTTACTAAGTCCTGCAAAGTTTGAATAATGTAATTATATTACAAAGTAAAATACATTAACACTTTCGCGCTATCTGGACGCGCCGGCGCATCCGGTTTCGTCTAACGTAAACGCATAGTGGACATAAAGTTATGTCTTCTTTTAAAATATTTGTATAAAATTCAATTTTAATCCGATTTCATTGGGGTTTGTTTCAAACGACGCGCCATGAAGTTCTCTTTCTCACCACTAGGCCGCCTGGCGCGTCGGCCTACCCGGTCACGTGACGGGCCCATTGTTTTCGTGTCACGTGTCGTGAGTCGATCACGCTCCCCTCGCGCGCCAAACTCGAGCATTTTTACCCGTTTCCGTGTGGATTATACCCAATTACTTCATCAAAAATGGATCAAGGTCAAGGCCCAAGCACTTCTACGCCCAAGGAAGCCTCCAGGTCATCGAGAGTGGACAAAATAACCCAAATTTTTAAGAAGTGGAGCGGAGTGAAGCTCACACCAACGAAAATTCCAGGCCTTGTGGAGGATTTATCAGAAGCTGAAGGTGATGTAGAGGTATTGGAGGAAGATTTTGGAACCCACAACGATTATAGTGTACCTAGAGCTAGAGGGAATGATACGGCAACGAGTGATGAGGAGACTGAGGCCCTCACCGAGGAAGAGGAGGCACCGCGACCCCCTCCTCCTCCTCCATCTCGGCACACACGTGGTGCATCTAGGCTACCTAGAAAAGTAGCTACCAGACATGTTACTCGTCGTAGGAACACACGACAAATTGCGCCAAGTGATTCTGAAAGTATAAGTGATGAGGAAAGTGATGAGGATTCATTCGAGCCTGCTCAAAGGCGTACACGTACAGTACGTACTCGGCAGGCTGGGGCTGGTGAGGGCTGGAGTCGTAGCAATACTTCTCCAGTTGTTGATGATTTTACTGGAAATCCTGGACTGAAAATTCCCAAGCCTACTAGTGCACTGGCTTATATTCAATTGTTCATCACGCGTGCCCTCCTTGAGTTCTTTACCGTTGAAACAAATTTGTACGTCTCGCAGTTATTCCGGATGGCCAATGAAAATGTATCAGATATTTGGACCCCAGTGAAGGTGAGTGAAATGGCGCGATTCCTAGGACAGTTCATATTGATGGGCATAATTAGGCTCCCAACTATGAGGATGTATTGGCAAACAGCAAAGCCATGGCATGCTCGTTTCTTCAGCTTGTTCATGCCGTCCAGACGATTCCAGCATATAAACCAGTTTTTCCACACATTCAATACCAATGCAGAGCCCGTGAACAATCGTGATAAGTTGATAAAAGTGAGGCCAGTGATGGATTACTTGAAAGAGAGGTTTGCTCAAGTTTACATCCCCAAGAAAGAGTTGTGTTTGGATGAGGGTACAATGGCATGGCGAGGCCGACTATCCTTCAAAGTGTACAATCCAAACAAACCAGACAAGTATGGTGTGAAACTTTATATGCTTGCTGAATCTGTCTCTGGGTACATATATGACTTTGACGTATACTCAGGTATTGGTAAGACGATAGTGGATACAGTAACGGGGTTGATGCAGCCTTTAGTGAACCAGGGTTACCATTTGTACATGGATAATTACTGTACTACAACTCGGTTACCCTGACAGAAACATTGAGAGAACTTGGGGTGTACACATGTGGCACAATTAGAATGCTACGTGGCGCCCCAAAGGTATTGCAAGCTCTAGCCAAGGGTAAACTTCCACTGGATACCACAGTATACCGCCGCAAAGATAATACCTTCATTCTCCTGTGGGAAGACAAGCGAGTGGTTTCAATCATTACCAACATCCACAATGCAGACACTCAGCGAGTTCAGCGAAGGAAGCGAATTCGCAACCGAGACAGAACAAGTGGAATACAACAGGTAACAGTGAACAAACCGACTGCAATTTGCGAGTACAATAAGTTCATGAAAGGTGTGGACCACTTCGATCAAATGGTTAAATATTACCATTTTACCAGGAAAACTCACAAGTGGACCAAAAAGATTACCTTTTATTTCCTGCAAATGGCATTGCATAATGCCTATGTTTTGTACAAATACAACACAACTGATCGAAAAAAGCTAACATTGCTACAGTTCCACGAAGTGGCAATCTGGGCCCTATTGCACTGGGACACAAGGAGTGGCCTAAAACATCATCATCATCTCAACACTTGCGGCACGCTCCAGACATAAATGATGACACAGCTCCTGCCAATGCTGACGCCATGCCAACTCCCGGACCATCTGGTGTGAGGCGGCCTTTGTTCACTACACCACCTCAAGATGAAGCAGACAACGAATCTGAACCCGACATGTCTGCCACACTGCCAGTTGACGAAACTGTTTTGTCAGATGAATCTGACTCTCCTGCAACTCCTTTTACACCTCCAGCGAGAGGACCTGGCCGCCCTATTGTTGATTCAGAAAATCGCATGAACTACAAACTGAAACATGAAATTTACAGACTGCCCAAACGTCTCAAGTGTCATGCATGAGCACGGTCCGGTAAAAGGAAGGACACGAACTATGGATGCAAGACCTGTGGTGTTGCACTCTGTGTTGTTCCCTGCTACACCAATTACCACCGGAAACAGGTGTATTGGGTGGTGAAGAAGTAACCACCCGCAACAGCTTCACTCCACCTACAAACCATCTGTTGAGCAACTTCAGGAATGAAGAACCTGAAGAAGGTGGAGTGAAGAACAAATGCTCAACTTACTGTTCCACAACCAGCCTTCCCTTGGTAAGTACACCTATTTGGTCCAAGTTTGTGTAGTATAATTTAGCTCATAGAACATTCTATTGCGAAAACATTGCCACAAAAATGAATGACATACATACAATAATAATATCAGAACAGTGAAATAAGTATAAACTTTCAAAGCAACGTTTCGCGCGTGTGTCGTCCGGTCACCGTTACCGGGTAACAGTGCGCCCACTTCCCACACTCTTGCGGGTGGGCCGGGACCATTATTCTACGATTATATTCATATCACCGTGTTGGGAATTTTATTGGGAGTCCATTGATACCAAAATTAAGGCTGTAGGACAATTGTAGAGGTGATAATAATCCCAAGAGTGAAAACATTTTGTTGCTGTTGAGCGCTCACGGCGACTCATCTTCGTAGTTATTTATTTCATGCTGGTATCTCTATAGCTTTCATGACTTTTTTTACTGATGTTCTTCTAGAGAATTTTATTGCGAACATGTTGGTACCAAAATGAAATACGTAGCATGAAAACTAAGGTCAGAAAAGTAAAAAGAGTATACACATTTTTGTTTTTACGCTTAAGTGATAAAAACGCCGCGCGCACATACGGTTGGCTGAGTGACCTTCGCCGAGAGCGCGAAAGTGTTAATACAGTAAATAATTATTGATGCCCAATTTTGTACGTGCCCTGATACGGGATCTTGGAGATAGCTTGTTCTTGTGTGATGCACCTATGTTTGTTTTATTTGTTCAAAAAGCTTTTCCTTAATGTGTATGCTTGCATTCTTATTTTTTCTGCTTGCTTGCTTTTGAGGAATAACTTATTTCGAACTTGTTAAAGTATGAAATGAGTTTCTTACATAAAATTCAGTCCTAAATACAAGAATGTTTTTCATCTGTATCTTGATTATTAATAGCCATGGGAAAATATAATATTTACAATTGTGTTTATTTTAACTAGGATGGTAGAAAGTCTTAAAGCTTAAATATGAGCCTTGTCAAATGTTGTAAAATGGTTGGTAATGATTTTGTCTTTCTTATTTCAGAATAATCCATCTAGTTTTGACTTGGTAGGGAATTACATGCCAGAGTCACGCTTCAAGGGCATCACTATTGGCATCTTGACCACTAGTTTGATTGTGGGCATCCTCATCCCAAATATTGGTGAGTGTCTCTGCCACTATTGTCTCTAACTCAAATTGAAATGTCCTTAAGTGGTAGATCATTTAAAAACACAGACTGTACAACTGTTGTGATCACACTAGTTTACATGTTTTAATTATTTTCTTGACAAATTTAACACCTGAATGGTTTTTCTTTTCTTGTATCTAAACATCTTCATCATGATTTAGTATACAGTACTGTTGTGTGCTAAGAATGACATGAAATTGTGATTGGTGTTCAACTATTATTAGCTTTATTAGTCTGGGGCTTCAGTCATATGGAGTTCTTATGCTTATCAGGAACAATGAGCCAGAACCTGGTTCCTCAGAGATGCACAGGGAGCAATGGCCTATGAAAACGCCACTCTTTGAGAGTATATTCATATCTGCCATCGACCGGGGTTGGGCACCCAGAAAGGTAGGCGCCCCAAAACAAACCCCAACTAGTATAAAATTGTAACCGGAGACCAAAACAGAGGCTAAAAATTCCCCCTAAGAAAAACGAGGAAACGAGCAAATCGTCATCAACCTGGTGCGCCGCTTGTTTGCACCGGCCCACTTCAGAGCCGGCCGTCTGCCCATCAGTTCGTCAACTGAAGCCAACTGGGGTGAATGTCTACTTTGCCTTTTTGATTGCCTGTCAGGGTTTTGGCCTTAGCGATTGTTACATAAGGGGGTCTGTACTATGGGGGATATAGTATAGCATGAGTGTAGGGGCAGTAGTTAGCATTAAGAGTTATCAAATATGGGAGATCTCAAAGGCCCGGCCCCCACTAAATATAGAGAAATAACTTGTAGTGGCTTATTACAGCAATAGTCAGCCTAGAGGTTGATCATAGATCTCCTACACAGGAAAAATGGATACTCCTTTACTAACTTATTTATTAACCCCTTAACAATCCCCCATATACATTCACACCAATAACAATAATAATTACTTTACCACACTATCTTACGTTAAAAGCCTTGGTCCACATAAGCAGGATACAAGGTTTACACTGAGAACAAGCTAGGGTAAAGTACTACTGGTTAAGAACTGAAGCTTGATGCAGCTTAGGGTAGTGAGACCACGTGGTACCCTAACACAACACAACACAACACTACACTTAGGGTACCCAAAACACTGGCAAATACTACCCCCAGGTCTCACCAAACTTTACTACCAGAGTAGGCACACTTACAACCCAGGATATACTTAACTTAAGGTAAGGGAAATAAGTAAGAAGAAAGGTAGAAGGGGAGAAAGGTGCAGCCACAGAGTCCAGCTGTTTACACCTCGAACACCAACAGAGAAGAGCGCGCATTTCCACAATTCTCCCTCAGGAGACTCGCTGCCAGCAGACTACTCAACTAATCGTACAGCATTCCTATCCCAAGTTTACTCAGGTTTACTTTACAAATGATTAGAAAGTATTAGTAAACATAGTTGGTGCCTCTTTTATTATTTAATAATCAACCCCAAGCTCAGTCTTAAATGCTCTTTGAGAAACAAGAATCGTCTTACGTCTGGCAGGGAAGATACAAACAAGTGCACCTCGTGATGCGTTTCCAATACTAAAAGGCAGTTTATTAGCTCAGTTTTGACCTCTGGTTTCCACTGAGGAACCCAGGGTTGTAACAGCGATGATACCTGCTGTGTGTGGGAGCGTTGGCCAGGAGTCACAAGTACTCGGGCTGCATGCGCTTATGGTTAATTGCCCTGGGCACCCTGTAAGTACTTCCCTTCAGTTTCAGGGTTATCTTCCCTGGACCTTTTGGGTGCCACTCTCAAAGGGGTAGCAGTCGCTTGGCTTCTGCCTTGCTCTTGGGGTTAGCTTGGGTCTCGGTGCTTTTGTTTGGCCCTGGGTAAAGAGGGTTTGTTGCTGGTTGGGGCACACTGTACTGCGCAGCTCGCATACAAGCGGCGGCCTGCCTCTTTCTGGCTTCCTTGTGCACTTTCGTTTTTTTTTTTTTTCTCATTTTAGTTTTTTCTGCCAGGTGGAGGGCTGCCTGGCTTCCTATTAGGTATGCCAAGGTTCTGTGGTTAGACCTCCTCTTGGACCCCAAGGTTGTTCCCTTCACAGAGGTCAGTTTGCCCATAATATACGGGGTTCAACCGGCTTTGTAGCACCAGTGCTTGGCCTTCCTGTAGGGACACCTTCTCCTGCGGGCCCTGGAAACCCCCGTCAGGGCTTGGGTGACCAGTGGATGTGACCTCAGAATCCCATCTCGCCTTGTGCGAGTTTGAAGGGTTACCCTTGTCTCAGGGTGACGATCATCTGTTTTACCTCCATCATGCTGCTTGTTGGGTCGATGACACCTTTGACCCGGAAATGTGCGAGACTTGTTCTCCGCTCATTATCCCATTTACCCATTCTTCTTCGGGAGATGTTAGGGGGTTCAACAGCTGTCGCGTTGCATGCAGGTTTCGGTTGTTGCAACGCGCTAGGTTGATTGCCTGCTCGAATGCCATAGGGCTGCCCAGTTTTGGTTTTAGGGACCCCAGACTTGGGGGCATTGGTTACTTTGACCTTAGTTCAGTCCATGTATCTGGGTCCTTTCCCTGTTGGTGTGGTTCGACCTGCTCCTTACCCCCATGCTGCCGGCTCCCGAACGTCTGAGGGTTTTAGAGTCGGGGCGGGGTTTAGTTGAGGATGAGATTCAGGCAGCTCTTCGGGGGGAAGGGGTCCCCCATTCAATGCTAGGACGGAGGCCTTTGAGCCTGATTCTCCCGCCGAGGCTTCTGGGTCTTGCCAGCAAACCCGCTTCTTTGATGCCTTTCACTTGGACTCTGCCTTTTCTTCAAGGGTGGAAGGCATGGAGGCCAGCTCTGCCCCAGGGCCTGGGGCCAGATTCACAGAGCAGCTATGCAAGTACTTATGAACGTGTACATCTTTCCTCACTCTTTCATGGCTTTGGTTAAATTTATTAAACAGTTTACAAGCATGAAAACTTCCCAATCAACTGTTGTTATTGTTATAAACAGCTTCCTGGTGCTTCGGAGCTCATAACTGTTTAATAATTGTAAACAAAGCCACCAAAGTTTGAGAAAAGATGTACAGGTTCGTAAGTGCTTGCGTAACTGCTTCGTGAATCTGGGCCCCTGGTTTTGAGACTTCTGGGGCTGGGGAGGAGTCGGCCTGGGGTGCTTGGGCCCCTTTCGGTCCTGCCTGGGCCTTGATGCCCTCAGGGCTGGGTTTCCTGTTGCAGAGCTCGGGGTTTTCGTATCCCTCTTCCCTGTATGAGTTTGATATGGGTTCGACTCTTCCCCGTGTTCGTTTCCAGGTTTCTTTGGGTTCCGCGGCTTCGTCCGTCCAGTTATTTTTGACCTCTCTGAGTTCCCCAGCGGAGGTTCGGGAGGCCCTTGGTGCGATATGCACCAAGGATCTCCTGTGAGACCTGGACGTTGCCTCTGTGATAGATCCGATCTCTCTTGAGTTCAGTTCCTCCTCCTCGTATTGGGTGCGTTATGAAGTTCCGGAGTCTTCCTGGCTTTCAGGCTGCCCTTTGTTTTCACTTGGAGCTTGGCACAGGTTTTGTCATACCTGCACACTGGAATGGTGGGAGCTCACTACGGTGTTGCAGGTTTACTTGGGGGGGGGGGGGCACTTTTGAGCACCTTAACCTGTAAGCTGCTAAGGGGTCCTGAGGAGATTTACACCCCTGTGCGTAAGAAAAAAAAATTATAATTTTTTTTTTCGTCTTCTAAAAATGTTAATTTGTGTTCCCTGAGCACAGGGGGAAAAAATCGTAGGTGGCATATTTTGAGCTCAATAGGCTGAAGAAGTCTGGCAAAATGTGGGCATTGACAGAGCAGTCGTCAGAGGCGGTCAGCGTCACCTGAGCTGACAGGTGGGAGATGCCACAAAGATATTATTACCTAATTATTTCAATGTCTCTGATTGATTTGTTCTTAGTTATTTGCAGTAATATTATTCAATAATGTGTAGTGTGATAGATTTATATAATAAAATGTGTGAATCATCGCTATACAGTACTCAAAAGTATGGTGTTCATATTAGTGGTTCAATTATTACATTCATAAAACAATAAACAAATAGTTTTGCAGTTAGTACACTATATACACACATTATATATAAATATCTACATGTTTTGTTCACCACAACTGTACAACTAAGCTGATATAGTTAGTTCAGAAACTAAGAGACATCGCTACACTCAGTCAGCTGGCGGCTGCCTCCCTCACTCATTCAATTGAATGAGTGAGGACTAAATTTCTCCCCCAACAATACTGTTTAGGGTGTTATTACACTATGTACACACATTATATACAAGTATCTACATGTCGTATGCATCGTAACTGTACACCTAAGCTTGTAGGGTGCATAGTGGCCACCCTCTACACAGCTAGACAAGTCATGCAGATGACTACCTCCGTCACTCAAGTGGCTCCTCCCAACATAATCCTTTTGCTGTTATTACACTAATACACACATTATATATAAGTATCTACATTTGTGTTCACCATAGAGAACCACTGAGCTGGTATGGTGAATGCAGACAATAACAGGTGGCCACACAGTCAGTAAACGACGCTATCTCCCTCCCTCCCACAGCATTACTCCTCCCACACAGCGCTAATTATCACAACAATCGTGCTATTATCACAATGCTGGTCATTTTTATCACAGTCAGGAGTCGTCTGTAATATTGTCATCGCTAAATAATAGCAGTTACATATTTATTTTTATATTTTTTAGGCACTGCTGTGGTCACAAGCTGAACAGCAATGCTGTTTGCTCATGCTGCGTGTGCCAGCCTTGACTGCTCCAACAGTACTGTGCCTCTTACACCGGAGAATATTGCCCAGGATTTTTTTAAACATGGTGTTTGTTTACAAGATCCCTGAGGAAGCTGATGTGAACCCCATGTACCTGCGGGCCATTTGAATCGTGCCTGGCACCCTATGGTGTATATATACGCCATGCGCACAGTGGGACATGTTACTCACAGCGTATATATACGCCATGCACAGTTTAAAGGATAATGCATGCCTTTATGCCCCTATGCTTCTTTGTGAGGTGGGCTTGCTCCAGTTGCATGCTCAGGTCCCTTTTCTTTTGGCTGCCATGGTTGCTGAGGATCTTCGGGCTCGCAAGCACTTGGCCTCTGTCTTGAGTTTCTTTGTCCTTCTTGAGCTGCCCTCGGACTGGCTTGTGGAGGATGTGGAGGTGTTAAGTGCCGGGCTATCGACTGGGGCATTGGCCTTGGATGTTGGGGCGTCAGCTGAAACTGTGTGCGCCTATTCTCCAATAGTCTCTGTTTTTTGCCTCTCACCTTGCGTGTCGGCAGGCTGTCCTCACTGTCTCTATTGATTCGCCCTGGGCCCTGGCTCTTCAGTTTTCTTTGCCTTTCAGTCCATTGTTGTTTGCGGACTCGGTTGTTACTCAGTTTTTGCAGGGTGGCTTCTGCTAGTTGCCGTCCTCTCATTTGTTGGTGATCCGGGGTGGGCATTCTCATGCTTCCCGGAAAGGTCGTGCCAGGGTTCAGGTCTCTGCTGGTCGAGGTGGGCCCTTGATAACAGTTTCCTTGCCAGTGCCTCCTCCAGAGCCATCTTTGTCTGGTTGGCATGGTGCTCACTCTGTGTGTAAGTCTGCTTTTCAGAATGGGCTTCGGCCCCATTGACGGGGCGATGGGGGTGGGAGGCTGGCTGTATGCCCACGCTTGGTCCCACGATTCGTGGGTGTTTTGGGTCATGTTCTCCGGCCAGTGGAGGTGTTGGGTGGCTGCTCCTCCTCTTGGAGGGTCGGGGCTGACAAGGCAGGCTTCCTTCCTTCAGGCTTCTGTCTTCCTTCCCTGCACTTCCATCAAGTCATCCTGGAGTGGGGGTGCACATGAGCGTGATTGAGACAACTTCATCCCTCAAATGGGTTTCTCACTTGTTTCCAGTTCCAAAATGGGATTGTGTGCTCTTCGGTTCATTCTCGACTTAACCCATCTGAACCCCTGGATTCCTTGCCCCTCTTTTCAGATGACCGCTCTGTTCCAGGTCCGACTTCTTTTGGAGCTGGATTCTTGGATGGTCTCTCTAGATTTCTGGGATGCGTATTGGCACGTCCCTGTTCTATAAAGGTTCAGGGACTAGTTACATTTCGTGGTGGGGCGACAAGCTTACTGCATTTGTTGCCTCCCTTTTGGGCTGAATCTGGTACCTCACATTTTCACGCGTCTTACCCGGGTCATGGACCATTTTTTTTACATGGGTTTATCACCATCTCTATGGTGATCAGGGCCCGGATTCACGAAGCAGTTACGCAAGCACTTACGAACGTGTACATCTTTCCTCACTCTTTGATACCTTTGGTTACATTTATTAAACAGTTTACAAGCATGAAAACTTGCCAATCAACTGTTGTTATTGTTATAAACAGCCTCCTGAAACTTTGGAGCTTATTAACTGTTTAATAATTGTAAACAAAGCCGCCAAAGATTGAGAAGATGGACAGGTTCGTAAGTGCTTGTGTAACTGCTTCTTGAATCTGGCCCTAGGTGGCTTCGTTGATGGTGTCCCAACTGAGAGCTTCATCTCGGCGACAGTATGAAGTTTCTTCACGTTTTTTCCTCCATTTTCATTCTCTTCATAGGTTGTCTTCTATTTCTGATCGGGTTGTCTTGCTCATTCTTTCTTGACTTTTTCAGGACCGTCATTTGATGCCGAATACTGTCGCCTCATATCATGTGGTGCTGGTGGAGCCGCTCTAGCTTGCGTTCAGGGTGGATGTCACTTCCGCCCCATTCCGTAAGCTTTCTTGTGCTTTGTTTCATCTCCAGCCTGCTCATGCACCGTCTGAGCCGACCTGGTCATTGGACCGGGTGCTCTCCTTTCTCTCTCCTCCTTGGTTTGTCGTGGCCCCTTCGGTCAAAGGTTGTTTTTCCAAGGGTCTCTTTCTGTTGGCATTGGCCTCTGGGGGTTGGTGAGCTTCATGCTCTACTCCGGCACAGTGGTTTCTTCTCTTTTGGTCCTGGTGGTGTGTTTGTTAGGTTGCAGCTGTCTCCTTTTTTTCTGGCAAAGGAGGAGATGGCCACTTATTGTAGGGGTCATTGATGCTTGCTTGGTCAGGCCGGGGGTGCATCATGAGTTGTGTCCGGGTGTGGCTCTTCGCCGTTACCTGCGCGCCTCGGCTTCTGTAGCTGTAGACATGCTTTGGGTTGAACCGGTTTCCCTCGTTCCCTGTTTCAGGGCTCAGGTCTCCCAGATCGTCCACAGGGTTATCAAGTCTAGCCAGTCTACTGTCTATCCTCATGCTCATGATGTTTGGAAGTTTGCTGTTTTGGCTGCTGTCTTCAGCAACATGTCTTGGGCTAACATTTGGGCGCAAGGATTTTAGAGGTCGAACAGGTCCTGGCTGCCCATTATTTGATCAACATTTCTGATCCTGGGCATTCGTGTGTGGCTTTGGATCGCACGTTGTAGCCAGTTGTCTCGCTTTCGAGTTGAGGAGCGTGTGGGGGCTGCCTTCCTGATAAGTCCCTCTCTTCCTTATCTTTGGTTATGTAGCTCCAGGGAGCCGTAGGGGTTCCCCACCGAAAACCAGCATTGAATGTAATGAAACTCCATTTTCTGGGTGAGCCCCAGAGGCTTCCTGGCACCCTCCCTCTCTCCCTCGGGTCGTTGGTTTTCGTGTTGTTTTGATACTTAGCCTCCGAACTGGAATGTCCGAGTTGCCGGTGCGGGTGGAGGGAGTTCGGCCTCTGTTCGGTTTTCGGTTGCAATTTTCTTATCATGTGGGGTCTGTTTTGTTATGCCTACTTTCTGGGTGCCTAACCCCAGTCGATGGCAGATAAGGAAAAACCCCCAAATACGGGTTTTCCAGGGCCATTGCTTCCTGTTTCTCTGAGGGGGCCAGGTTCTGGCTTCTAGTCCTGGCATGTGGTCCCCGGTAGGCTGAACTCCTTTGACTAATGCCCTGGTCTAATGAATTGCATATTTGTCCGATAGCTCCAGGGAGCCTGCGGGGCTCACTCAGAAAATTGCGTTTTAATACAGTACATTCAATTTTTTTTTTCTCGTAAGGCAGATACAGTACAATACAGTATGTGGAAATCTAACAATGATGTAACAATGAATCGAAGTTACTCCAACATTGATTTAACTTTACTCAAGGATATTTTGCTGCCCGGGTTTTGTTAAAGTTGCCCAAGTTTTAAGTGAATGTTTGCTTTCAGAGTTTGTGTTGGGGCTTCTCGGGTCAACGATGGGGATGCTGATTGCGCTCATTCTTCCTTCACTCCTCTTTATTAGAGTCAACTCCAAGGCCTCGGCAGAACGACTTCTTGCTCAGGTTAGTGTGTAGAAATGACTGTATCTGAAAGTCAATAGATATAACAAAAATATATTAGTTTTGTATTGATTGTATGAGAGTACCATACAAGTATTGTACCCTGTTTGGGTACAGGTAATATTATATTATGTTCCTATTGTTACTGGTGAGAGTGAGATATGCTTGCGGAGTTCTTGTCTTTTATATATATAATAGATTCCTGTTCAGCACAATGACATTTAACTTGATCCACTAGAGTGTTGGGTTAAAAAGTAGAATATATTTGTTTAATGCAATAAACTCTGACATGAGCTGACATGTTGATGTGAGCTAGTGGAATGGAAAAAATTAAACTTTTTTCTACATTTATTTAGCCCTATCTATGCAGTATCTTTATTTATTTACTTGGTACAAAGTGGAATGTTTTTCAGCTTTGTCTCTAGAAACCTCTATGTACTCCATGGTGTTCTCTGGAATTAGGATTGTCTAGTTCTCTGAAAACCTAAGTTTGCCCAAACACACTTTGGCATCGTTCATTCTCTTTGAATTTGTTCATCATTTTAATCTCAAGATTTTATCCTTTACATGCAGCTTCCTTTCAATCAATTTACAGAAAAGGCCTGGATCTGTTTTACATTTGTCCGCTATCCCTTTCTCAGTTTCTTTCTGCCTCTCTCCTCACTGCTGTGTATTTGTTTCTTGCTTGTAGCGCTGGTATGTGTGAGGGTTTGGCCTCTTCCTATATTGTACCCATTTCTGGGGGGAGCCCCTTCGGCTCCCCGAAGCTATCCAGGCTGATATTGCTAATGTCAGACTTAGGTTTCAGTCATGTGTATGGAGTTTTTTGGGCCTACCGGGGACCACGAGCCAGAACCTGGCCGCCTCAGAGAGGCACGAGGAGCAATGGCCTATAGAAACCCCCGTGTAATTGGAAGCATTCTGTATCTGCTATCGACCGGGTCAGGCACCCAGAAAGGTACGCACCCCGAAACACTTTTATTCTGGTGAAAATTGCTACAAAAAGCCGAACTAGTAGATAGAATTCCGCAAACAGAAATGAGCAAACATGCATGACGTCACACGTCGCCGTGCCACTGTCTGCGCAGCTCCCCCTTCCCCCTCTCCGGGAGGGGTAAGGGGGGAGCCCCAGACCCCTGCGCTGGTAATCCATACGTCAGTTCTGAGGCTGATGCTCTCCGGGCAGAGGTCGTGTGCTCTGGCTCCAGACTTAGTTTCAGCTCTGTGCCTGGCTCTTAAAATGTCTTTGCCCTTCTGTTCCTTGCTGTTTGCTGATTCTGCTGTGGCGCAGTATCTGCAGGCTGCTTCGGCTAGATGTCGTCCAATGTTCGATTTGTTGGTTCTCCGGGGGTCCTGGGGAGCACCTTCCCAGAGGGGTCTTGCCAGGGCTCGGGGTTCTACTCATTGGGGTACCACTGGTGCCAGTTTCGGAGCCGGCACCGCCTCTGGAACCGTCTTTGTCTGGTCGGTGCGGTGTTCGCTCTGTGCGAAGCTCGAGTTCTCGTGAGGGGCGCCGGCCCTTTCCCGGTTCGTCTCATTGAAGGGGCGATGGGGGAGAGGCTTGCTCTGTTCGCTCATGGCTGGTTTCGCAATTTGTGGGCTTTTCGGGTTGTTTCAGACAGCTTGCGGAGGTGTTGGGTGGCACCTCCTTCTTCGGGGGGCTCGGGGCTGGCCTCTTCTCCAGCACTCTGTCAGGTCGTCTTGGAGTGGGTTCGCTTGGTTGTGGTCGAAATGATGATGTCTCTCAGATGGGTTTCCCGTCTGTTCCCAGTCCCGAAACGGGACTGTGCGGACCTGTGGTTCATTTTGGACTTGTCCCGACTGAATTCCCTGGGTTCATTGCCCCTCCTTTCGGATGACTATGCTATCCCAGGTCTGGCTCCAGCAGAAGCTGGACCAACCTGTTTGGGTTGAACCTGGCACAACCTGTTTGGGTTGAACCTGGCACAACCTGTTTGGGTTGAACCTGGCACAACCTGTTTGGGTTGAACCTGGGACAACCTGTTTGGGTTGAACCTGGCACAACCTGTTTGGGTTGAACCTGGCACAACCTGTTTGGGTTGAACCTGGCACAACCTGTTTGGGTTGAACCTGGCACAACCTGTTTGGGTTGAACCTGGCACAACCTGTTTGGGTTGAACCTGGCACAACCTGTTTGGGTTGAACCTGGCACAACCTGTTTGGGTTGAACCTGGCACAACCTGTTTGGGTTGAACCTGGCACAACCTGTTTGGGTTGAACCTGGCACAACCTGTTTGGGTTGAACCTGGCACAACCTGTTTGGGTTGAACCTGGCACAACCTGTTTGGGTTGAACCTGGCACCTTGTGTTTTCACATGCCTGACACGGGTCGTGGTAGCCTGTCAGTGTCATTTAGGTGTTCGGGTGCAGGCCTACCTCGACGACTGGCTGGTATGGACTCCCAGCCGGTCCGCTTGTCTGCTCGCCAGGACTTTGGTTCTTTCCCAGCTCGCCTGGTTCGGGTTCTTGGTGAACTGAAGGAAGTCCCATCTGGTTCCCTCCCAGGTTCGGACTTGGCTGGGTCTTGTTTGGGACTCTCGGACCACTTCCTTGTCTCTCCCTCCGGAATCTCTGCTTTGCCTGCAGTCCTGCCTTTGCCATTTTCTGGGGGGCTCCCAGGTCACCCGGCAGTTTATCGAGGGTCTGTGCGGGAGCCTGAACTTTGCGATGATGGTCTACCCGCCGGGTCGGGTTTGGTTTCGTCGGCTGTTCTGGTTCCTTCGGGGATGTCTCTTCTGCCTCTCTCTCTTGCGATCACTGGGTTCGACCCCCAGGGGCTTTGCATCTGTTGCTGCATCGCCTGCTTCATCTTCGAGTTTTTTTGGGGTTCAGTGCCTTGGCCCCTACTCAAGCCCTCACTCGATGTGTTCACGGACTCGTCGTCTTTCAGCTGGGGCTTTATGACCAGTGCTCACCAGGCTGGCCAAGGGCGGTGGGGTCCGTCCTTCCTTCGAGCCCACATCAGGGTTTTTGAGTTTGCGGCGGTGTGGTTTTCTCTTCAGAGGGTTCGAGTCGCCCACGGATCATCGATCCGGCTCTATTTGGACTGCTCCCCGGTGGTTCATTGTCTGAATCAAGGAGATTTGATGCCGTCCTTGGCTCTTTGGGGCTGGTCGCTTCGAGTGACTCGTCTGCTGAATTCTCGGGCTTTGGCTCTCCTGGTGGTTCACATTCGAGGGATGTCCAACGTTCAGGCGGACGGCCTGTCTCGGTTCATTTCTCTGTCCACGGAATGGACAGTCGATGCTGACTCATTATGCAGGTTTTGCTGCGGTTTTGCACATTATATGCATATACGCTTGTAGGGAATTTCATTGCGAATACATTGATACCAAAATTAAAGTCCTAGGACCAGAATTGAGGTAACAAAGTTGAAAACAGAATACCCATTTTATTGGCGCTCACTGGGATTATGCTCCGTCACTTTCTCTGTTTGCTGTGGGTGCTACGCCGGGCTTTTGGATTTTATATTTGCATACTCCTGTAGGGAATTCTATTGGGAAGACAATGATACCAAAATGAAAGACTTAAGACAAGAATTGAGATGTCCAAAGTGAAGAGTGTACCGATTTTATTGGTCTGGCTCGCTCCCGGGTAACACGCTCTCACTTTCTCGCCGGGCTTTTGGGCTTTATATGCATTTAGTACTGTAGAGAATTCTATTGCGAACACATTGATACCAAATTGAAAAACCTAGGACGAGAATTGAGATGACAAAGTTGAAAAGATTATTCACTTTTCATAGTGAGAAGCACCTTGGGGTGGCGCAGCGCTCTCTTTCTTGTAACCACGGCCTGTTATCATCATGTCAGCGGGTGGAGATCGCTGCTGTTTTTTATATTATATGCCTGGTTACCTGGTTGATACCTGGTTGATGGGGTTCTGGGAGTTCTTCTACTCCCCAAGCCCGGCCCGAGGCCAGGCTTGACTTGTGAGAGTTTGGTCCACTAGGCTGTTGCTTGGAGCGGCCCGCAGGCCCTCATACCCACCACAGCCCGGTTGGTCCGGCACTCCTTGGAGGAATAAATCTAGTTTTCTCTTGAAGATGTCCACGGTTGTTCCGGCAATATTTCTTATGCTTGCTGGGAGGACGTTGAACAACCGTGGACCTCTGATGTTTATACAGTGTTCTCTGATTGTGCCTATGGCACCTCTGCTCTTCACTGGTTCTATTCTGCATTTTCTTCCATATCGTTCACTCCAGTACGTTGTTATTTTACTGTGTAGATTTGGTACTTGGCCCTCCAGTATCTTCCAGGTATATATTATTTGATATCTCTCTCGTCTTCTTTCTAGTGAGTACATTTGGAGGGCTTTGAGACGATCCCAATAATTTAGGTGCTTTATTGCGTCTATGCGTGCCGTATATGTTCTTTGTATTCCCTCTATTTCAGCAATCTCTCCTGCTCTGAAGGGGGAAGTGAGTACTGAGCAGTACTCAAGACGGGACAACACAAGTGACTTGAAGAGTACAACCATTGTGATGGGATCCCTGGATTTGAAAGTTCTCGTAATCCATCCTATCATTTTTCTGGCTGTCGCATATTTGCTTGGTTATGCTCCTTAAATGTTAGGTCGTCAGACATTATTATTCCCAAATCCTTTACATGCTGTTTTCCTACTATGGGTACATTTGATTGTGTTTTGTACTCCGTATTATGTTTAAGGTCCTCATTTTTACCGTACCTGAGTACCTGGAATTTATCACTGTTAAACATCATGTTATTTTCTGATACCCAGTCGAAAACTTTATTAATATCAGCTTGAAGTTTTTCAATGTCTTCAGCCGAGGTAATTTTCATACTGATTTTTGTGTCATCTGCAAAGGATGATACGAAGCTGTGACTTGTATTTTTGTCTATATCTGATACAGTATGAGAATAAGGAAAAGCAGCGGTGCAAGGACTGTACCCTGAGGTACAGAGCTTTTCACTGCACTTGGACTAGATTTTATATGGTTGACAGTTACTCGCTGAGTCCTG